TGTTCTTTTATTTCCTAGGTAACTTTTTTTGGTAATTATATTTCCTAGGTAAGTTAAACAATGACTATTTCACCCATAAAAAAAGTCATTATTAAATGGGGCAAATTTGTCTCATCATGTGTAGGCAACTTACCCATTTGGAAGATGGGCAGGTAAGTGATACCCAAGGAAAAGTCATTTACCATGGGATCTGTGGTTTATTGAAAAAACTAAAAATAATATGGAATTGTTGGCCAATGAGAAATACTTTCCTATTGACCAACTCCTCATCCCCTCATTTACTTGAAAAACAGATGGGGCCTAAGAGAAGCAACATTAAGTGCTTGCCTGTTTGGGAAGGGCTGAGTTGGAGGTTTAGCTAAGCTGGTTCAGTTTCTTTGAAGCACTTCAAATAAGCTATTCAAATATGCTAAAGTTCAAAAAATTGATTGATAACCAATTTGGGCTCTACAGATTTTTCACCAAATATAGCTTATAGATTGTCAATGTGGGTCCACCTTAGAAAGCTAGAAGCTGTTGGGGCTGAGATAAAGATTAAACTAAGTTGGTTTAGGCTGCATTTGGCATTCCTTATTTCAAGTACTTATCTCCTTTTTGCAATTAAAATGCCCTTATGAATGAGATTGGCTTCAGCCAATGCAAGATCTGTTCGAACACCATTAAAACAGCCTTTACAACTTTGCATTGGGGATATCTCCATATTTCTATGCTTTATTTCATGGGAGATATTCCCAATGCAAGGCTATAAAGGTTTTCCGAACAGGCCTTTCACTAACTAAATCTGATTTCCTTATGAACACTGAATTTTTAATTGCAAAAGAGAGATAAGTCCTTAAAATAAGGAATGCCAAATGTAATCTTAGTTGTTTTGAAGCACTCTAGATAAGCTACTAAAAGAGGCTTAAGTGGACAGCCCATAAAATGACTAATTGACAAGTAGACAGCTAGACCTGTTCATAGGTCGGTGTTCGGGCTTGAGCTTAGGCTTGGGACCATTCAAATTTCAGAAAATGCTCAACCAAAGCCTGGCCCATGAACGGATCTACTGATGGCCAACTTCAGGTCTCCAACTTTTCATTAAACATATCTCATACACTGTCCATGTAGGGCCTGCCTCGAAAAGCTAGAAGCTAGTAGTGAGCTTTAGACCTCTTAATCGAGCACTAAAGCAGTTGCAAGGTAAAGGGGGTGTCTTAGCAATATGCAAAATACAAGTAGAGTTGTAGAGGCGCAAAGCTCGACACAACCCACCAACTATAGTACCATGAGGGCTTGTGCTAGCACGACATGGTTCGGCCTGCATATCACTAGAACATGTTCCGGAGATCTGGACTCCCCAATAGGGATTTATGGTGTGATCACCTACCCACACTTACCAAAGGAAATCACAGCCGCATAGAGATGAAAACAAATTGGATTCGAATTGGGGTATATTTGTATATAACCCGATAATATAAATTGCAGATCTGATCCGATTGAATCTGACAAACATCGATCCAAATCCAAATCTGTTCAGAATTTTGGATTTCCTAACATGATCCAATCCAATTTAACTTCTGAAAAATTTCATAAATTTTTGAAAGAAAAAAAAACCATTACAATTAATTTTGAATATCCAAAAACCCGAGGTGCRATATCCCAATCCAAGAAAGTAATCATGATCAATGCATTTGCAGCCCTACAGCTGGAGCCGCATGCCGTATGTAGGGAACATCAATCACAATTTAATATATGTTTGGCATCAGTGCTGCAGATGCAACACCGTTTTCTCTGCTGATGTGTGGGTTGGAAGCACCATTTTCTGAAAAAAAATGTTTTTTTTTTTGTTTGGAATCATTGCTGCCAGGTAGGACGTTTCCTGGAGCAACAACAACTTTTAATGTTTGGTACCAATTCTCCAGGAAACCTTTTCAGCACTGGTACCCATTATCGAATGCCACATCAATGCCACCTCACATCTTTGTTGGCAACAACGAGCTGTACCTCCAAGAAACACCAAATTTGGCGTTGCTCCAAGCCATGCCTTCCTGATTTCCTAGGCATGGCTTGGAGCACCCTTTTTTTATGGAACAATGGTTCCAAACAAATGCCCGTTTCCTGGAGTACTGTTTTTTTTGATGTGGTGCTGATGTAGTGCCATTTTCTGAAGCAATGACAACGATGCTAAACAGGCGCTTAGAACTTACAAGTTACAACAATAGATGAAGCTAGCTAGTTTATGAATTATGATTTTTTTTTGTGGGAATTTCTTAACTTGGTGGTTCCATTTCGGCTTTCATGTGGAATTCTTGCAACTTAACCTTGATTATTCCTCCGATACATAAGCTATTTGTTTTCTTATACTGTCCTCACTCAGACAATCTATCTAAGTAAACTCTAAAGAGATAAGAGAGTGCATTTCAGATTTCATTATCCTCCGGGCTCCGATACATAAGCTATTTCTTTTATTATTGGGTAAATTACAAAGACCCCCTGTACTATGGGGTCTATGACAAAGACCCCCTGTACATTATTTTGCGACAAAGACCCACCGGTACTATGACTTTGAGACAAAGACCCCCTTTGACCGTTAAGTCAGATGACGAAATGCATTAAATTACCAAAATACCCCACTAAACTCTTTCTATTTTCTTTTTTTGCCCTTTTTCTCTTAAAACCTATTTAACCCATTGTTTTCCCTTTCTTCTCTTCTTTACTTTCTCCGAATAAGTCTCTTAACATTAAAGATGGTCCGTTTGGCATTGGGAGACGCTTGATTCTTGGCCGCCTCCCCAATGAGACGCTCGGTGTCTGTAAATGCAACCCACGAGGGGGTGATCCAATTCCCTTGATCATTCACTATAATCTTAACGTGCCCATTCCGGTAGACACCAACACAAGATTAAGTTGTCCCGAGATCGATACCAATTACAATCCCGAGCTTTGGAGATTCTTTAGAAGCCACCACTAATCCTAACAGAAATTCTGAGTACCGAAAGAGAAGAAGAAAAAGGTAAAGCAAGTAAGTCAACAATGAGAGAAGAAGAGCGAGACTCTTTGCCCCTATCTTCGTTGAATGCTTGTACTAGATCTTTCACTTCTTTGGCCTTTCTTCTATTATGAACTTCTAGGGAAGAGAATGCAGAGGGACCCTCTTGTGTAAGTTTCTGCAGCCAACATCACAGATGCAACAAATACAGAAAGTGTGAACAATAACAACAATGAATTAACACCAAAGGAGTCGTGGTCCATCTGTCCTATTCCCTGATTGGATTCAAGGCGTCTATGTTCATAAAGGCGCCGATCCCCTGTTCAAGCCCGTCGCCAAGCCCGTGGCCAGTCACCATTTCTTCGATGGTGACAGCATGGTTCACGCTGTTAGAATCCACAACGGCTCGGCTAGCTATGCCGCTTCACTGTGAGCTTCATGGCCACTCTGGTATTGCTCGTCTCCTTCTCTTCTAGCCTTAAATCTAAATAATAATCTCTGCATGTAACTCTGTGGCCTGTACTACTACTGAGAAGTGAGAAACTGAGAATTCAAATGAATGTATGTAGGTTAGATTTTAGAGAGAGAGAGAGAGAAGAGAGGTAGACCTTAGAAAGCTCCAAAAATTATCAGAGAAAAGAAAAATAGAAATAATGCTTCGTGGGGTCATAACAAGCAGCCAGTGCGTAGCTGCCAGAGTCATCACTCATCAGATCAGACATAGAACCTATCTTCTTCGGTAGATCCACACGGCACACGCAACACAACCATGGGTGCGGAAAAAAGCAACTGATTTTAATGTCTTTGGGTTTCGTTATAGCATGAGAGTACAGGGAATGGAACGAAGCAGACAATGCATGCATCTCTTTTAATCACAAGAAGGAAATGAGAGAAAGACGTACATTTTCGATTTTAATATAAACAGTATTTTTCTCGTCTATTACAAGGGTAGTATGGAAATTAAAAAATATTGTAACAGCTTTTCTGAACGGAAGGCTAACAAAAGGGGGCCTTTGTCTCACCGTCATAATACGGAGAGTCTTTGTAATTTACCCTTTATTATATGTCTTCACCCACATAATCCAAGTAAACTCTGAGGAGATAAGAGAGTCCATGTCAGATTTCATACTTATACGCTGGTGTAGGGACCGTCTCACGTACGATCTTGTAATTGGAATTGGTGGTTCCACACTTACCAAGACAGTGATACTACTGGAGTGGCAGTGGAATACATACTGCAAAAAAATTGAAGACATGAATACTTTCATACCTGTTCCTGTTGGATACCGATTTCAGCCAACTGATGAAGAACTGATCAATTATTATCTCAGACTCAGTTTTTGGTAGTGATATGCCTTCAATCGACGTTATAGACTTTGATGTCTATCGCTGTGAGCCTCAGTTTCTACCTTGTAAGTTTTTTGCTTTCTTGGTGCCTTCTTTCTTTGATAATACGTTTTTCTTACTTTCTTGCGGAATTCTTTTTTGATCACTACTTGTTTCTGATTTTTTTTTTCTACGTCAGTGTAATAGATTAGACCGATTCTTGATTAACAGATCATCATGTTATGTCGGTACCCATATGCGTAGATGATTTAACTTATCTAATCATATATATGTATTTTCTACATAAACTACGTAGAAGACGAATAGCTAATAATAAATACAAATATTTTAATCACTACGTGTTTCTGATTTTTTTTTTCTACGTCAGTGTACAAAGATTAGACCGATTCTTGATTAACAGATCATCATGTTATGTCAGTTCCCATTTGCGTAGATGATTTAATTTATCTACTCTATGTATTTTTTACATAAAATACGTTGCAGGTGAATAGCTAATAATACATACAAATATTTTAATCTATTGTTGATTTTTTTTGAGTTTTAATTTAACACCCATATGCATATGCATACATCATCTTTTTATGTATGCTCTTTAATTTTACTTTTTTTTTTTTTCGCACCCATATGCATGTTTCAAAGTATCAATACGGTGGCTTCCCGATACACCCCTACAAAGAGTGTATCGGGGTTTTGACCGGTTCAGGTGGTGGAGCCTTAATAAAACCCCTGAACAGCTTTTGAAAAAAATATAAAAAACACTACCGATATCGCCTGTTGTGCTCCTACCGGTATTTTGAACCTTGCCCATATGCATATTAGGGTCTGTTTGGCACAGGAATAAGAGTCAGAATGGTCTACTATACTATTTGTTTCATGTTAGAATCGGAATCAGAATTGGATTCAAAATTGGCTGAAATGGATTCTCATTCCTTAAGGGAGGGAAAGGGTATGGCCATTCAGAATGGGAGTGGGATTCCAATTCCGTCCAACCAAACAATAGACCCTATATATTCCCACAAACCAAATGAACCGTTAATCTTTTTTATCTATGTTTTTGTTTTTTATAGGTAAAAAAACTATATTAACAGAGACAAAGAGAATTGTACAAGGCGGGCTGTCCCAAATAACTACATATACCTGAGTTCTTCATTAGAGAAGCAATAGAATCGGCAGCCCCATTAGAAGACCTAGGCAAAAAAAACTAAACATTTACAAAATTAGCAGTTAAAGATTTAGGGTGCCTTTGGTTCGTAATCGGAATCAGAATGGGAATCCCTTGGAATCGGAATCAGAATGGTCTATTCCCCCTACCTGTTTGGTTCAAACAGGAATGGAATCGGATTCCGATTGATGCTGTTTGGTTCATCAAGAGGCTGGAATCGGAATCAGCCATGCTTTCCAATTTTGCCCCTAATAAAAATAAAAAAAAAGCAAAAAATGCATTAAAATATAAAAAATGCAGAAATTTTGCAGGAAAATGCAGAAATTACAATAATTTTGCAGCAAATTCAGAAAAATGCATGAAAATACTCAAAATCTGCAGAAATTGCAAAAAAAATGTAGAAATTACAACAATTTTGCAGCAAATTCAGAAAATGCATGAAAATACTAGAACTTTTGTAGGAAATTGCAGAAAAATGCATGAAAATACCTGAAAATTTGCAGAAATGTTCAGAAATTACAATAATTTTGCACAAAAAACAGAAAAAACAAATGAAAATATAGGAATTTTGCAAAAAAAAAATCAGAAAAAAACGAATGAAAATATAGGAATTTTGCAAGAAAAATCAGAAAATTGCAGAAATTACAACAAATTTACAGAAAATTTGCAGAAAATTGCAAAAAATGCATGAAAATACCTGAAATTTTGCAGAAATTTAGAAAAATGCAAGAAAATTAGAAAATTGCAAAAATTAAATAATTTTGCAAATTGAGGTGATTAATCTACAGGGATGTTAACTGATTGTATTTCTTGGAATTTAAGATTTTCTTGAAGTTCCGGTAAATCTGCAAATTACAGAAATTTAAGATTTTACAAATTACAAAATCAGATAGGACACAAAAATTGTATTTCTTGAAGTTCCTGTAAATCTACAGGGATGTTAAATGAGAAATGAACAAACTCAAAAGTACAACTGAGAAATATAAATGTGTAATGTGTAAGTAAAAATATGRGGCAAAGCTACTTTTTGTCAATCACCAAGAGAACTTTACAAAGAAAGAAATAATAAAGTGCAAGCTCCCCTACCAAAAAAGCAGTAAGGGAAATGAGCAAACACATATTCCAATTTCCTTTCATCCCAACTTGGTGAAACTTTAAGAGGTACAAACATCTTTATCTCCACTCAAGTGTGGAAAGTAACAAATAAGGGTTAACCAATGTATATCGAGTTGTATAGATATGACAAAAATATGGTAGAGGAATGGATGGACCAGTTGTTGCATACACAATTTACACAAAAAATCAGAATATCCAACATGACATAATACCCATATACAGGTATCCAGATTTCATAGGTGACAAAATGTTTAACCATTAAAATCAAACCATGCAAGAGACACTATTCAACTTAACCTGCAAAACAATTGTTTTCAACAAATACCATGTAAAGCATAGAGAAAGCTGCTGACTAGGGCTTCTAAGAAAACCTTATGCCAGAAAAGCAATTTCTGAAGTTGAGAAATGGAAATAGTACATTTTTATTCAACCACTGATATGTGAAGGACAAACACTCAATCAGGATCTTGACCACAAAAGGAATTAAAAAAGGCTAATATCAGTGTTGGCAGCCCAAGATTTTACTATTATACCAAGTAATGGCCCCTTGGCACAAAAAGAATCTCAGGTGGAATATCCACCCTGGATCCCTGGTTTCCATAAATATAACATACTACATATTGAAAGATCCTCTTGGCTGGAGTGTGGCCAATGACATTTTTTTTAATCAATAACCAAATCAAAAGTTTCATGAAAATTTCATGATAGCTAAGAAGTATCCATTCATCAATGGGAAATCCATAAAGGACCATACTCTGTACTCTAGTATATCACACTTTCCATCTGGATAACCTTACCAAGGCAGGCGCACACACACACACACACACACACACACAATGAACAAGGATCAACCACAGTATAATCAAGGAACCGAGCTAAAAATAATTCTAACAAAGAGGTTTAAGTTCAAAGTCTCTGTGGTGATTCGTGGGGATTGGGAGAGAGAGAGAAAGAGAGAGAGAGAGGGAGAGAGAGGTACGTTGAGAGGAAAAAAGTCACTACTGGCAGCCGCCAGTTTTCTATTTATATTAACTTCATAAAAGAGTCTGAAATTACAAGTATGCCCCTGGCAGCATATCCTAGAAATAAAATAATAAGAAAAGGAAAGAAGAAAAAAAACAACTGTAACTGTAGCTATTAAATAAGCCTTACAACACTCTCCCTCAAGTTGGGCTGAAGATGTCTATCATGCCCAGCTTATCACATAACTCATTGTGCCGCGAGCACGGAAGCCCCTTTGTAAGGACATAAGCAAGTTGTTCCTTGGAGTTGACATAAGGGATGCAAATTTCCCTTTTTCCCAGTTTCTCTCTTATGAAGTGTTTGTCTACCTCAATATGCTTGGTCCTCTCATGTAGGACTGGATTGCTAGCGATGTTTATTGCAGCCTTGTTGTCACAGTAAAGGGACATAGGGCTGTGAACAACTCCAAGCCACCCCATGTAGAAGGTTCTTTAGCCAAAGGACTTCAGCCACCTCATGTGCCATAGCTCTATATTCAGCTTCAACACTTGACCTTGCTACCACACTTTGCTTCTTGCTCTTCCAGGTCACCAGATTTCCTCCYACAAATGTGCAATACCCACTAGTGGACTTTCTATCATCCACAGCTCCTGCCCAATCAGCATCTGTAAAGACTTCCACCTTTAGGTGATTGTGTTTACTAAATAGTAGGCTTGTTCCTGGATATTT